TAAATGCACGTATCATGTTTCAAAAATTATAAGTCATTTAAAATCGGAGGGTTCATAAATTAATGGTTACAAACTTTTCAAAGTTGTAATCTTTATGGCATCTTTTCTTTTTGACTTTTAATAATAAAATTATTTTAAACATATATATTCTAATCCAAAAATTCAATCATGTTAAATATATATATATATATATTGAACGCTAAAAATATTTTTTAAATTACATACCCAATCAATTAATCTTAATTTTTTTAAAATTACTATGTTTATTTTTTATTAATATGTATAAAATAAAAATAAATAGTTCATCTTTGGATATATAATTTATAATCTTAATATACTATCATTTGGTGTAGACATATGAATCATAAAATATTTTTATTTCATAAAATTAAATATTATATTTAAAGAAAATAAGGAAATTACTTTGGATCAATCGGGTGATTGAATTAGGGTACTGCCCACTTTGATTGAATTACTTTTAGGTGATATTTAAAATAGTCAAAAAACTTGACATAACTTGGTTGGTCCGAGGTAATTAAGTTATGTATCAGTTTGACCAGACCAAATTGATTATTGAACCTAAATATAAATTTTAATATTGAAAATACTTTATTACGTGAATGTGATGTTGTCCAAACTTCAAATAATCATATTAACAATACTTTTATGACAACGTGATTAATGATTTATAAATATTTATATATCATTTTATTATTATTTATGTGAACAAAATATTTATTTCATTATCATTTTTATTAATGTACGGTAAATATAAGGTTTTCAGAATCGCACCGTCTTGTGGTTATTCAGATGTTAATACATAATACTTTAATATATATATATATATATATATAGTACTTTTTGTAATAAATTTAAATAGAAAGTGTTACTTAAATATCTAAACAATTTATAAATTCAAATGTTTAAACTAATTGATAAACAATTTATAGATCTCTATTTTATTTAAATATGTAATTTTATTTAAAATAATTTTTCATGTAACAAAATTTGTTTAGAAAATCGTATCGATCTTACCAGTCCAACATACTGGTGTTGGCGGATTCGATAGCAAATATTTTATTCAAGCGCACTAAATTGGTTATAAACCGGTTGTCGGTCCATCCGGTCGGACTGTGTTCAACCCGGTTTAATTTATAAATAATGGGTAAATCATGATTAATGTTATTTATTTATTTAATTTATAATATAATCAAAATATTATTTTCCCGTGTATCGCACGGGGCACGTACTAGTTTAAAATGATAAGAACAACTTTATTACATTATTTAACCTTCTACACCGAATTGAAAGTTAGGTCAATATATTATATTTCAAATTATTTTGGAAGAAAATATTTTTCCTGAGAGCTCATTTTATTAATAGAAAATTCCCAGTATTGTTTTTCCTAAATAGACGCATATATTACACATATAAATATTTTGACCATTTATTTTATTCAACAATAATAAGTTTGTCGGCCGCACATATAAACTAGGGTTTGGGAACGCAGGGTCTACTTTAGATTACATCAACAAAACGGACGGCTGGGATGGAGCTAATGACACACCTTAATTTTGGCTCATATTTATTTTCAATTATTTGATAACACAATGAATACATGCTAATTTGGTCAAAATCCAAATTAAAAAATTAAATTATAAGTTAGATCATGACTGGATGAATCAAGGTTTTTTCCTGTTTAGATACAAATTGTAATTCAAAAAAAAATAAAAAAAAAAATCAATTCATTCATTCCATTTTTCTCAACAACTCCACCTACGCAACTAAAAAATAAAATTAAAATATTATTATGTATTTTACAATAAAGAATACTAATTCTGTCACAATTTATCTAACTATCAATAACTATCAAATATTATATTAATTTTATGTCTCAATAACTTTAATAACTACATACACAATCTCAATTCTATCTTTTATATAAAATATTTTTTTCTTTTTTATTCCATTTTTCGGGTTGGACATTTTTCCTTCAAAAAACGAATATTGAGGACATGCTTGTTTATAAATTAATTTACTCACATTTAATTCATAATAAAAATCTAACTCAACTTTAATTCAACATTACTGTCCTCAATATTATTCATATTTTACATATCAACTTCAAGTCATTATTCATTAACTCACATAATTTTAATAACTTTGTTGATATCCGAGTCAGACTCCTACGAAGATCACGGTCTGAGAGACCGGGGATCGGGTAGTGATCGACCGGACTGATGAGGCCGATCGCCGAATTTGTTCGTAGGTGCCGAGCTGAGTATAGTCAAAGTCAACGGGAGTGGCGGTCAGAGTTGATCCCGAGGTCGGCACCTCGACTCCCCTATTGCGAGGTCGGTCTGGCCCAGTGCCGAGTGGGGAAGGGACCACGGAGGTCGGAAGATGAGCTGGTTTGCAGTCTAGTTCGGAATCTTATCAGGTCGATTCTTCATGAGAGCTAACGGACCAGAGGACAATAAAACAAGGCCACTTGTCAATCAATGATTATCGATGGGACACCTCAGACTAGCCTGAGGACCTAGGATGACTAGCCCGATTCAGGAGCACGTCATTTAATGCAGCCCTTATCGGCATTAAATGCCCTGCAGATAATGATTGGAATATCCGCAAATCACTCCCAATCAGTCAGAGAAACGCCGGCCTGTCTTGCCGAGTTACTGTACGACAAGACCCATGAACAATACTCGAACAGTATCGCATTTAAGGGCCCTATAAAAAGAAGTCTCAAGCATTTATTTTGGGTGGTTGTTGAATCCCAACTGTCTCAACTCTCTACATTTTCTCTCTCTAAACTTGTAAAGAATTTGTGTAAGAATTAGTAAGTATATCGCAAGTGTCAACCTCGTACGAGAGGCCGACCTCGTAATCCGTTAATAAAGTCGTAATTAAACCGTATTTCTGTGTTCCTTCTCACTACCTTTTCGTTGTTTATCTCTTTGTCCGTTGACCGGAAACGCTAGTCAACAAACTTATCATTTTTAATTATTTATTTTCTACGTTTACACCGAATTAATTTTAATTATTTTATTTTATATATTATTTTAATACATTCTTAAAATCTTAACAAATACTAGTCATACAATTTTTTTCAAAATTAATTCTAATTAACCAAAAAACTCATCATTTTGATCGAACTATTTGATAAATCAGCTTGCCTG